ATTAAGGTGAAATTTGGAGTCCTGGAAAAATTAATCTGGATATTGGGAAAGTCCGTGCAATTTGTTTCTGAAAAAGGGTACAACCCTACATCAATTTCAGGTTGAAGTAGGGATATATAATAATAGCACATTCACTTTCCAAAAAAAGAAGTTAAGTGCTGGTTTGACTAGTGCCCAAGTTTGCAAACACAAGACAGTGATGGTACACTTTGTGACCTGGTAACCACTCATGATCCATATCTTTAACTGTATATCACAGTGCCAACTTTCCAGCATGGCCTTTCATGGTGTCCTGGACTGACTAGTAGCACATTTTATTTACAATAACTTGTATTACACTTGGACAGTGTTATTGAATGTTATTGAATACACTTGGACAATGTTAAGTTCTTTTGTTGTTTTATCAGGTATGGTGAAATACACCCTCATTTTTACATGGGTCCTCTAACAGAGGCCATAAAGGAAGCAGGGGGAGCATCAGCTAAAGAGGTAGGGCTTGTTGAATGATTGTTTCTGTAACCAAGAAAAATTAATGTGAAAACTTTGCTATGTAGAAAAAAGAGGTGGGAATAAACTAAAAATAAAGGAGAGATATCCAAGGAAGGCAAAAACTGACTTTGCTTGCAAGTGATGAACTCGTGAAATTCAGGCTGAAATTTTGAAGATGCACAACTTGTGCCATAGCTTCCTTTACTTTCCCTTGCAATTGTATCAAATGAGTTTTTGTGAATTTATTTTTGCTATTGTTGTTGTGATGTGGATTTTACTTAATTTGAATGACTATGGTCCATTTTTTACTTGTTTTTGTTTTTTTTTTTAAAGAGGAGACCGTTACTTGTTTATCTACATCACGATGGTAGCATTTTAACAAATGTATTTTGTAGGTAAGTACTGCTACCATGAGCTTTCAGTACTGCTTTGTATTTTGAACTCCTCTCAGTGGCTGAATCTCCTCGTTGATTACTACACTTTTCCTTGCATTTCAAAGCAATTCTCGAGTGAGTGTGGAAAAAAACCTGAGTTTTTGATAGTGTTGCTCTATTTTGCCCTGTTAGTGTCGGTAAAAGTCGCGTCATGCTCTCAGCCAATCAGACTGATGTAAAATTTAAACCACCCTTGTATTGGACACGCAATATCTGCGCTTTAGCGTAGAGGTCTTATTGGTTCCTGGTATTCTGAGACAATTTCCATCATTTTTTACTCGTTTAAAACACTCAGCTGGTGAGAGCTCAACTCCCAAGGGTGGCTTGATTTCAAATGCACATCGATTTTTCTTTGTCTCGTCTTTCAGCCAATTGATCTGCTCGGACACTATTGTGAACTACATCAGTGGTAACTTTGTCGTGTGGGCCTGGGACATGACCCATGATACAAACAGAACAAGGTGAGTGTATATACAACAGAGTCAGTTAAAAAAAAAAATGAAAACTTGTGTAACTTTTGTCGCAAGCGTGCAACAAAGAAAAAAGACCTGACAACCTGACTTCCCTCTAAAGCTTTGCTCCTCAGACTATCTGATTTTGTCGTCCAATGCTCTACCAACTAAACCAGAAAGTCTCCCTTCGGGAGCGAAGTAATATACGAGATTCATTTGTGTCTGGGTCAATGGTTCTTTTTTGAGCTGTTTATGTTTGTCATCGAAACTGGTGTTTTTAGCATTTATTTGTTTGACTTTGGTTTGCGGCTCCTTTTATCGCTCAACCAACGCCTTTTAGTTACTAAATTTTACACTAGTCTTAACCTGAGTTTGGACTGGTCATAAAAACCTAGAAAATCATACAATTTAAGAGTTCAATTTCCAGATTTTACAGTTTGTGTATGTTCCGTGTATGATCTGATGACGAATGCAGTTCCCATTTTTGGAAAACAAAAAGTATTTTAAAGCAATAAAAGAAAGGAATGTTTTCACATTTTGTTGTGTAAAAGCACTCCAAATTTGTTTGCTGCGTTGTTTGAAAGCTGATTGACACTTAAAAAGTTCAAGCTGCTACAACGACCACAAACAAAGATATATTTGTGTTACTAATACCGAAAAGTGTGAAAAGAGAAATCAAAAATCATTATCAGCATGAATTAGCCGAGTTTGATCGGGTTTAGAGCAATCATTGAAGTTCAGAAGACGTTTGTGCAAAGTCCTAGTATTAAGCAGTGAAAGCACTGACTCTGCTTTTCGTTACATTTTGTGCTCATTAAAAAAATATCTGTCATTTTGTTGTAGATTCTTAGACATGGTGACGCAACACTTTGGTAGTGTGGCGGCGAGCACGGTCCGGGGATTTGGGGCCGAGCAGTATCCTCTTCTTTTAGTTGCAATGAAAAACAGATCAGCGATGGAGATTTGTTCAGTTCTACAAGGTACAAACTATTGTTTTTGTCGTCTTTTCAAATGTTAGAGCAGTTGCAACGGATTGACTGCGTTTCGAGAACTGGTCGGTCCTGTCTTTTACTGATTTTTACTGAGCAGAAATGTTTTCAGCGATTTTTTAGACTTCATGTTTATAGGTCTAATACTGGCTACGCGGAAAATTGATTTTATCGGGATATGCATTGTTTATAAATACTCATTATCAACCGCGTCCGAAGTCCGCATCGTTGGGTACGGATCGAGTTTTTCTCTTCACGAAGCGCTTGGTTCATAAATCGACGGTGAAAAAACAAGGATCGTAACTTACAGCGCTAACTGTGCAAGAAGACAAGTGTGACTAGACGTTTATAATTGCTCTGCTGTGTCTAACAGGTTTTGGGAAGGATTTCTTGTCACGCGGAACGCCTGACACACGCTGAAAGCAAAACCAGTTGATCGTAATTCAGTCGTTAGCACCATTAACACACACTTCAGAGAACTCAAAAGATTATTCACAGAAATCTGTCCTCTAAAGCTTGACCCGATAGCCTCGCTCTCGCGCACGCTAATATAGGGAACCGCTGTTTAACATAACCACACGCGCAAAACTAGAATAAGGTCTTATGGGAATGACTGGCAAAAGATTTTGGCCAAAAAAACAAAAAATCGTAAAATTTTGGCGATTCGCACAGTAGTATATGGCGTACTAAATTGATCAAGGAGATGTACTACTTACACTTTTAAATTATTGGTATGCTTTACCGTGATGCCTAACAATAAAACTTCTACTCGCTATTCATCGTTTTGCATCAGGTACTGTTACCCTTGACGAGCTCATGACTGGACTAATGAGCGCACACGAAACATTTCAACAAGCCATGGACTTTGAAATTAGGGAAGAGGTAGCTGAATGATTTAGTGCAATGAAGTTTGTTCTTATATAGCATGGATGAGATTGAGTATGAATTATCAATGCCGCGCTCTGAGTTATCTGCCGAAGCCTAAGGTTGAGCATGGTGACACAGATACCAGGTTTGATAATTCGTAATATCATGTGACAACCAAACTTACTAACTGTTTTATTGTAGATTTTGTAAACAATCTGCAAAAGAAGTCACTTATCTCTGAGAAACTAGGCAGGGTTTGAACTCGA